TTTTGTAAATGTAATTCATCTAATTTATAATTTATAAAGTAGATTAATTTATATTATAATTATTATTCTGTGTAATTTATAGTTACAAATATGAAATATTTATATATAAATGTTATAGAAAGTTAGTTCTTATTCTATAAATCAAAATGAGTTAATACTCATTTATAATTTAATATAATATTATTACGTTTTTTATTAAAATAATATTAAAACAATGAATATTATTTTTAAAATAAAAATATACTAAAGATATTATTAAAATGTAATCTGAAAAGTAGTAAAGAGTATCTTTTTGATATCTTATTTTGAATATATTTAAATATTATATTTAAATATTATATTAATATTATGTTGTTATTTAATAGTAACTAAGTTTGTTATATATAACATAACATAAAATTAAATAAATGTAATGTTTTGAGGTAAACTACTTGAAAGTAGATAAAAAGTGTTTTTGTTTTAATAGTATTGACTAGATTTTGATCCGCACTTTCAAAGCGCGGGTTTATATTTGATGCAAACTTTATATAATCGAATTTCCTATACATGTGGGAGAAACTTGTTTAGTTCTTTAATTTTATCAAACATAGTATTTTTAAGAATGCAGGATAATCTTTCAGTGAAAATATTTATATGACCGTATTTTGTTTTATATAAAGTAGACATGTGCAGAAAATCCATAACTCGACGTCTAAACTCAATCTAAACAAAAAAAATTGGATCCGTAACCGGTCAAAAATCTAAAATATATCAGTATGAGTTTTGTAGGGGCGTACAAAATATATCTAAATCAAAGTGTAGCCAGATCCGAACGAATAACCCAAAAACCAAAAAATCTAGAAAAAAATCTGAATCGATCTGAATGTCCAAATTAGTCGTAAATATAAATATTTGAAACATAAATATCTAGTTTAAATATTCAGTTCTATATTTATTTTGAAATGATATTTAAAATTAATTATCTAAATTTTAACTAAGTATTTTAATATCCAATTCTATAAAAATAAGTAAATTTTTTTGTTTTGGTTTTAGATTTTAGATTGCCAAACCGATATAACCCAAATGCGAACGATATATGGTTACTTTATCGGTTTTAGAATGTGTACAAATTAGAACCAAACCCGACATGTTATATTTGAATCTGATTTATACTTACAAACATGTCTACTTACATATTATGACACCTATGATGTGATATAAATTAGCTTTGATTCAAAATATTCGATCCATATCCCAATAGGTACTTAAACTCTCAAGCATAACTTAGATTATGTTTTCTATTTTGTTAAATTAATTTTATATTTGATAAATATTTTGTCTGTTTATTAGAATAACCCGTAAAAATTATAATCATAAAAATATCAGTAATAACAGGTTTCATCATATAATTAAATATCAATAGTAGCTATTATTAATATTTATTTTATAAATTATATATATATATATAAATGATTTTAAGACTTTATCTATGATAATTATATTATTATGTATTCGTGGAGGTTTGAAAAAAATTGTTTATTATTATTTTGTGTATCAGTTACATATAATTAAATGTTAATTTTTATATCCTAATTTTTTAATGTAGATATGTATATTAAAATATAAAATTATTTCTTTTTTTTTTAATATTTTATGGTAGTATTTTATTTTTCTATAAATGTAATTCATCTAGTTTATAATGTATAAAGTAGATTAATTTATATTATAATTATTATTTTTTGTAATTGTTAGTTATAAATATGAAATATTTATATATAAATGTTATAGAAAGTTAGTTCGTATTCTATAAATCAAAATGAATTAATACTCATTTATAATTTAATTTAATATTATTTACGTTTTTATTATTAAAATAATATTAAAACAATAAATATTTATTTTTAAAATAAAATATATTAAAGATATTTTTAAAATGTAATCTGAAAAAATAGTTAAGAGTATCTTTTTGATATCTTATTTTGAATATATTTAAATATTTATTAATATTATATTGTTATTTAATAATAACTAAGTTTGTTATATGTAACATAACATAAAATTAAATAAATATAATATTTTGACGTATACTATTTGCAAGTAGATAAAAAGTGTTTCTGTTTTAATAGTATTGGTATAAGGCATAAAGGAAGGCAGATGTAAGCTATAACAAAAAAAAAGACATGAACACTATCGATGAGAAATTTATGTAAGTTATCTGATCAGACAGATAGCAATTCAATATGTTCGCTTCAGTTTTATTGAAATGCATTTGACCGGTGATCAGATACATACAAGAATTTTAAATGTTTTTATGTTTTTTTTTTAACACTATGTTTCTTAGGCCTCGATTGGTACGGCAGATGATAAAGCATTAGCAGTGTGCTGTAGAAGTTGTATGTTGAATAAGCTGTATGCTTTCAGTAAATTTTTTAATAAAGTGATTGGCAGAGTAATAGCAGTATACAATTTTAAAAATTATTATAATAGTTAATATACATAAATATTTACATTAAAATATATTTATATTGAGTCACATAAACAAAAAGTTCTAGAATATTACAGAAAAATCAAAGCATAAAACCATACCAGTAAGTATGTCATAAGATAAGATGGATAAACAATAACAAAGAAGCTATCTCAAATCAAGGATACATAAACGCACTACACATACAACGAGACAATAGTTACATGATGGTGTACGTTGGAGGAGATGCTAGTGCTTCTTCTAAACTGCTTGGCTCTTCTTTTATCCACATTAGCGGCTTGAAAAGAACTAAACTTTGCATCATGCGAGAAGCACCGTGGCCTAGGATCGAAACCTCACCAACCTCACCATCTATTCGAGTGGAGACACATACGGATGCCGGAGAAGAACGCAGTCTTTAAGCTCCATTAACATTCTCCGTTCCACGCTGAAAGATCTGCTCGATGCTCGACGTATAAATAACCAAAACACTGAGAGAAAAAACACAAGCCAAAGCTCCAGCGTACGACACACCGAAAACGGCCGAGAAACTAAGATATCGAAACTGGATCTATGATATCAAGTGGACAAGTGAGCTAGTCACTCCGTCGATCGAAAAATCCGGAACCTCCATCATCATAGCAGAAAAGTTCATGACCAAAGTAAGAACATTCAACCAAATCACTCTAATTGTGCTACTCCACAACAGACCGTCGGATTAGTAGCAAAAATAATCTAGAGAAACGAGGCGCATCCACCTCTAAACCGAAAAACACCAAAACATTAAAACATCATAAAAGAGGACAAACAAAGATAAAAGAGACTGAGGAGAGCCTCTCCAAGCGACGGCAAGGAGCGCCGACCGCCGGAGAAGCGAGGATTTCGTCAAGAAGTTTGACGGCTAGTGGTAGATCTAAGAGAGAGAAAATTAGGTCGAGGGTGTGTATCAAATGTTTTTTATGTTATGAGGTCTTATTTGTAAGTTGAAATCATCCTGAATGAAAGGGAGAGTTTTTATTTGAATGACCTCACATATCCAAAATAAGTATAAAATAAATCCGGGCTGTCGTCCAAGTCACTGCATTGTATGATAATGATATACAAATCAATATACTGTATAGACTAATTCCAATAAAAATCAGTTGGAAGGCGACGTGATCACAACATAGGATGAGCATGATGCAAGTGTATCACCAATTATTTAAATATAATGTTATTAGCAACATTATCATTGTGTAATTGCGTTGACCTACTATGGCTAAGACCACATCAAGATTTTCTGTTCTATAATGATAATAAATGTTGAAACTGAGTGTTAGCTGGGGATAAGTTTGATCTCGCTTGTATTGATTTTAGTCATTTTAGGAAGATATGTGGAGCTTCGGTTCTACAAATCTTAAATGTATTGACATCAATTTAGCAATGATATAACCACTTATCCCCAAAATTGGTTAATCTATCTGACTCAGGTGTTTTAAATGGACTTATCACAAAAATAATTTACAAACAATGCATTGGTGATAAAACCAACCGTTTAAATGGGACATGGAAACGATATAAAATGGTTGCACACAGATGATAGGACATAAAGATGACAAAATAGCGATGCAAAACAAAAGTTGTGGTTCACTTAAAAGCACAAAAACTAATTTACTTTGTAAGTTAGGGTGCCCAATCCCGATTTCGGTTCCGTTTCTCTTCGGTTCTTTTTGGTATTTCAATTTATAAAAAAAAATAACTACCATATTATAATAATATCTATTTTGTTTGGGTTCGGTTTATATATTATCAGTTTTCGATTATTTGATTTTATACCAAAATATCATAAATATATTTATCCTTTATAACATTTTGTGATTTTAATTTATATGATTAAATGTCGACTTTAATAAAACATAAAAATATTTCAGTTTTTCAATAGATTATTTTTTAGTTTTCTCTTTTTTCTTTTACCACGTAAAATAATTAGTAAGCATATTAAGTTAGTAATCCATATTATTAAAACTTATGTTTTGTTTAATTTGATAAAATGAAAATAACTTTTATATTAGTAAAATGAACATTTTAAGTATGAAGATATATCAACAAAATAAATTATTATATATTACTAATTATACTCTATAATTTACAAATAATCAATCTACTATATTTTATTTAATCGATTTATTCGGTTTATATATCAAACAGTATGATATACGGCGGTTTTGTCAAAAATAGTATTCATTCGATATATTCGTTATTACTAAATCCAAACCACTTCTTTTATTAAAGTTTGATTTTAATTTGTTCGGTTTTACCGGATTTAACATCCTATTTGTAACACTTCAAAACCCTCATGTTCCACCACTATTTCTTATGCCACCTACATTTTCGACCATCAATTAATGGCTTCATTTAAATATAATTTATCAATAGTAGTGCCCTTGGTACAATCTCAAAAAGTCAACCATCTTGTAATCATTAAGCTAAGCAAACCCCTTAATTATTTACACGTTCACCCCGCCGGAACCATAACGGCAGAGCTTTGGTCCTCATGAAACCCGGAGATAGTTAAACTATGGTCGTGTCACGATTATGCTTCTACTCTTCTTTCTTACTTTTGTTACGGTTCGTTGCCGCTCAAAACAACAGTAATGAACAAGGGACAGGGTTCAATCCAACCACGGCTATAATCATGATCGTACTCGTCAGCATTTTTTTCTCACTTGGATGTGTCTCCGTCTACATGCGAAGGTGTCTCGAGCAAGCCCTAGGGATCAACGACGGAAGATCCGTCGACCCGGGAAACTGGCTTAACGTTAGGCAGACGCCGCGTGGACTCGACGCTTCTGTCATAGAAACGTTTCCGACGTTTCGTTACTCCACCGTGAAGACGTTGAGAATCGGCAAAGAAGCGTTGGAGTGTCCCGTTTGCCTCAATGAGTTCGAGGACGATGAAACGCTGCGTTTGCTTCCTCAATGTTGCCACGTGTTTCATCCTGGTTGCATAGATGCGTGGCTACGTGAGAACGCTACGTGTCCTCTCTGCCGCGCCAATCTCGTTCCTGTACCGGGTGAGTCTGTTTCTGTCGAGATCCCCGGTTTAGCTAGAGAATCCGGTCAGAACTCTCCCCAAACCGAAGATAACCGGAGAATGGCTTTTGGTTCTCCAGACGAACGGTTACTCGACTCAGTGGCTTGGACAGGTAACCAAAGCATGCCACGTAAGTCCATGTCTACTGGGTGGAAATTAGCTGGATTGTTTAGCCGGTCAAGTTCTTACGGTCTGACAGGGGAGAATCTAGATCGGTTCACGCTAAGATTACCGCAAGAGATACACGACCAGCTCGTGAACCAAGGCCACGTTGTGCTACCACAAGTGAGGAGCTCGATACGAGGGTACAGAACCGGAAGCCTAGGGAACGAAAGAAACTATTTCTACTTTGAACGGTTTGATCAAGACCATCGCTTTGACCGCAGACCGTTTTCTATAACTCCTCCGTTCCGGACCAGCTCGATTAGGTCTCCCAATGGTGTTATCAACGGGGGAGATAGTTATCAAGAGCGTGCTGGCACACCCAAAAATTTGCTTTTAGCAATAAGGTCACCGTTTGATCGGTTATTCATTGGAAAAAACAATGTTGGTGAACGTTCTTACCTTAGATCCGGTGATGCGAGTCCTGTGTAGATGGATTTTTTAAAAATTGGATTCTTAAGAAATTTGAGAAGAATATACACTGGATATATGTTTTTCTTCTAATATTTTTTGTTATTCAAGAAAGTCAGTACTACGCAGTGAAAAAATATGTTTCTGTTTCATACTAAGTTTTCTAAGTAACGTGCTGTTAGAAGAGAAGAGTGTAATATATGATTAGGGATGAAAATTAGGGATCAGCTTCCGGGATGATAGCTATTAGGCTGATTATGTAAATTGCACTGAGTATTAGCTGCGTCAAATCGAATGCAAGTGAATTTGCGTTACTCACAGCATTTCTTTCAGTTCAGATGGGATCAAGTACTCAGAGTTGTGATTTGTGAAACAATGTTTTAGCAGAAGATTTTCTAACAACTATACTCTCTCCGTTTCATATTGAGTGTCGATTATCTTTGTGCACAAGAATTAAAAAAAATTAGTTTTATAAATTTTCTATATAAAAACACAATTACTTATACACCAAACAATATTTTAACCAATAAAAAAATAAATTACAATATAAAATTAATAAATTTTGCATTGAAAGTTGAAAATAATACTTATTTTGTAGCATTTTTTTCCTACAACAATCTTTACAAATAAAAGAGATTTTTTTTTCTCTCCATAGGAGTCCATAGGAGGCAAATGATGCTACCTATCCTCTTTAAAAATTCTTCGACCAATATGTGTTCGACCAATCTTTTATTCTGGGCCTAATTGGGAGACCCGTTAATACCACTGTTTTGTCAATCGTCTAGGGTGTGAGGTTTGTGCTTCGACGACCAATATTTTTCAGATGAATGAAGAACGTTACAACGTTTCTGTCTCTGCTCCATGGGAAGTTTATACGTTTAACAAGGTATCGTATTTGTTTCTGGAGTATCCGTTATTAAGCATTATATCTTTTGTTTAATAAGAAATTATCAGGGAATAGTTTTGATTTGTTGTTCTTGTAAGTTTTGCTAACATTTTTATTCTTGGATTGAACTGTGTTAGGCGTCTCAAGATAAGAAGAGCTTGGATGTTGGTACTAACCTTTTCATTGGAAACCTTGACCATGTAAGTAAATCTATTGGTGGTAATTTTACTCTAAAATATTGATACATCAACTACAATAGCTGAGCAGGTTTGTTTTTTACAGGATGTGGATGAAAAAGCTTTGTATGATCCGTTTAGCGCATTGGGTGGGATCGCTTCTAATCCTGAAGTAGAATTTTTTTTTTGCTTAAGTATTATCTGTAATCTATGAGTAATTTGTCATTTGTTGTTGGAAAAAGAATGCATGCATGCATATGAGTAATATTCTCTCGGTTTTTCATTTCAGATCATTCGTGATCCTGATACCATGAACTCACGTGGCTTCAGTTTCATCAGCTATGGCTCCTTTGACGCATTTTATGTTGTTATTGATGTAATTCTATTTATTTTTAGCTTCTTTCGTGGATCACTTCTAAAAACCTGGCTACCAGAAAGTCCCAAACTCTCAATATGTTTCACATAAATAGCTGCTCTACCAACTAATCCTCTGAATGTATATTGCAGGGAATGGCCAGACAATATTTCAGTAATTGTCAAATAACAGTCTCTTATGTATTATCCGTAATCATATATGTAACCAAACCAAACCTGAATATTCACAACGTCTAAATACACTTCTATGCATGAATCTATGGTCCTTACTGTGTATGACATGCTCACAATTCATTGTTTACATGTATTATAACTATTTAATTGTATACCAATTAAAAATTATGAGTTTGTCTCTTGCAGTGAAGAAACCAAGGAGAGAATGAGAGCTGCAATGAAACAGATTTTGGCTGTAAAGTCAAGATCCAAGCGACTAAAGGAGAAGCTCACTTCATTGTGGTTAGAGAACATTACAGAATCTGCAAGGGAAGGAGGAAGTGACGAATAGAACTTGATTAGGACAGCTACGGAAAGGCAAAACAAGAGATTTCATCTGACAAGCTTCAATTGGCTGAAGAGAAAGCAAGATCAAAGGAAGAAAACAAGATGAGAGCAGAAGAAGCTGCACACGCCAAGACTGAGAAGATGTAGAGAATTGTAGAAAATTGGTTTTCTATATTTGTTTTGTCAGATTCACAAAAAGAAATTAAGTCAATGTAAAATTGCTACTGGAAAATCAATTGGTGGTTTCAGCCGCCAAACGCAGCCACTGTAAAGGCCAACTCCGCATCGAGCCACCTCTCAACGCTATCCGCTGCGACCCCTCATCTCCTCCTCCAAAACGCGATCCAAACGCTCCTTGTCTCCCTCACTCAAACTCTTCCTTAGTCGGCGAGTGTCTCAACCTCCACAACAGTCCGTCTACTCAAGCTTAAGTTTGCTTCCGATTTTGAGGTAGGATTTTAAAAAATTTCATCTTGGGTAATGTAGGTTTATCTTCTTGATCAGGTATTTTTGATGAATTTTGTATTAAGGAGTATTGTTCCTCCTGCATCTTTGTCCTTTTTTTTTTTGTATATTGTCCTCAAATACATTAAACACGGCGGTGAGAAATCATGGCAAACCAATCGGATGATTTGAAAATCTTCCAGAATGCAGCAAAAGATATTTTTGCTCAGAAATCCTCTATTGAGATGCTTAGGGTTGATGACTTTGTGACCAGTGACTCCTCTAGTAAAGTAGTTAATCATTTGGAGAAATTCTTAAGAGTTACCAAGTCAATGTTGGCTCACTCCTCTAGTAAGAAGCGGAAAGCTAATTTTGGGGATGGGGATGATGCTGCAATGCATTCTTCCTCTCATCAGGACGAATTGATCAGTTTTTCTACCCATGAAAATGTTGACTCCCAGAACTTGATCAGTTCTTCTACCCATGGAAATGTTGACTCCTAGAACTTAGATCTAGATCAGGTTCAATCCAAGCTGAAGAAGCTGCAGATTCAATCTAAAATGTTGATCTACATTTTTCAATTATATGATTGGTCTCACTTTCTTTACATTCAACCTCTTTTATGTATGTAGACGCTTACAGTGTACATTCCAGAACAAATGGAGAAACACCTTAACCTCCTCAACAAGGTGACTCAGGAGATTGAAAGAGAAAAATCTGCAAGTGCTTTTATGTATTCAGTCGAAGAGAAACTGATGAGGGCCTCGCTCATCTGAAAGCAAGATTCAGCCTAATAGAAAAGGAAAATGCTTCTCTTAAATCCGATCATGACTCTATTGTTTCAAAACTATTGGATTAACATAAGTTGAGTGAAGAGATTGAATGCCTAAAGGATACTCAAATATCTTTGTTGGAGAAGAAAGTGGAGGAGGCTGAGAGATACATGACTAATTTCAAAGCAAGATTGACATTTATGGAAAAGTAAAATGATTCTCTTAAAGCTGATGATGCAAAACTATTCGAGCAACATCAAGACCTCATCAACAACCTTACTCAAGAGATTGAATGCCTAAAGGAGTTAGTTGATTCCAAGGATACTCAAATATCCTTTTGTGAGAAGAAAGTGGGCAAGGGTGAGAAAGACATGACTGATTTGAAAGCAAAATTCACCTTAATCAAAAAAAAAAAATGTTTCTTCTAAGGCTGAGTATGATGCAAAACTAAAGCTCCTCAATAAGCTGACTCAAGAAACCCTAAAAGATATAGTTAATTCCAAGGATACTCAAATATCCTCTTTGGAGAAGAAAGTGAATGGGGGTGCCAGAGAAGTGACTAATTTGAAAGTAAGATTTACTGTAATGGAAAAGAAAAATGTTTCTCTTAAGGCGAATTATGCGGCTAGTTTGGAAGAATTGAAGGAAGATCGTGAACTCCTCAGGAAAATTAGGCGAAAGTTTACGGGAAGGTGGAAAGAGAAAGAAGTGATATGCAAAGGCAACAAACACTTGAAGCTTCAGACAAATGTCTTTCTTGCTTCCATTGACCAGACAAACAGTATTGCAGGGGATTGCGCCCCTAGTATGTGTAAATAATACAATGTAGTGGGAACAACATATATCCCATCCATTAGGTAAGTGAAAAATTGCAAAATTACGGGACGAATGGTATTATGTAGCATATTGCAATTTGAACACCATGTTACATAATCAAGGAGCAAACATATTGTCTTCATGACATTACATAATGTGTTCATGGCATTACATAATGTGTTCATGGCATTGGAAGTTGTTGTTTTTAGGTTGAAAATCCGGGTCTGGGCACTATTTTTTTTAAAAAAAGGTATAGGGAGAAAAAGGAAAACATCGATTTTTCATCAGCGCCTGTACACCATCTCACTTTCCCAGCAGCTAGTCAATCTCCAGAGACCCCCAATCAAGATTCTCCATGCTTCCTGCTATGAACCTCAGCCTTCTCATCAGCTGAGGAAGTAGCCGCCAAACGCAGCCACCGCAAACGCAAACTCCGCATCGAGCCACCTCGTAACGCTCTCCGCTGCGACCCCTCATCTCCTCCTCCAAAACGCGATCCAAACACTCCTCGTCTCCCTGACTCAACCTCATCCTTAGTCGGCGGGCATCTCAACCTCCACAACAGTCCGTCTACTCAAGCTTTAGCCTGCTTCCGATTTTGAGGTAGGATTATAAATTTTTTATTTTGGGTTATGTGGGTTTATTTTCTTGATCGTGTATTTGTGATGAATTTTGTATTAAGGAGTATTGTTCCTCTTGCATCTTTGTTTTTTTTTGTAGATTGTCCTTAAATACATTAAATACGGCGGTGAGAAATCATGGAAAACTAATCGGATGATTTGAAAATCTTCCAGAATGCAACAAAAGATATTTTTGCTTAGAACTCCTCTATTGAGATGCTTAGGGTTGATGACTTTGAGACCAGTGACTCCTCTAGTAAAGGAGTTAATTATTTGCAGCAATTCTTAAGAGTTACTAAGTCAATGTTGGCTGACTCCTCTAGTAAGACGCGGAAAGCTACTTTTGGGGATGGGGATGCTGCTGCAATGCATTCTTCCTCTCATCATGAGGAATTGATCAGTTTTTCTACCCATGGAAGTGTTGACTCCC